TGATATTTGATTAATAGGTCTCATTTGTATTAGATTAGTTTCAGCTGTTAAATTGTTCTTTAAATTTTGTGTGTTGGAAACATTTTATGCTCGCTCTATTTTTTAAATTGCATCTGTGGTCTTTCATGAATTGTTCAGAATGCTTCAGCTATTGGATGATATATAAATAAATAGATAAAAATCTAGGTTGGACACCAGTGGCATTTTAATTCTACATTTCATTGTTGGCACCTGAAATGTGAAGACCTAGAAGAAGTGGAGAAAATGAAGAACCCTCCCCATTTCCTGGGAGAGGGGGAATAAATCCCTAGAGATTTATGCCATTGCATGACAACTAATCTTTGACAATACCGAAAGCTTTTATAGAATGGTTTATTGTATTCTCTACTTCAGGTACACCCTTTGTTCATCTGGAATAATGTAGGACCGCAGCATTGCTGATTATGAGTTGTGCATTTGTCATGGAACACTTCCAACAGTCCCCCATGGTTTCACATTGTAGGAGAAGGAAGATCTGTTGTGGAAGAAGACTGTATTTCAGCTATTTTCATGCGGAGGAACTTCTGATAAGTTGTCAGAGAAGCCAAGATTCTTTGGAAGATAGTTTTAAAAACACCTTTGTAACATATTTAACAGTATGGCAGGCTTGGTTTGAAGTAGCATTAAACTGAAATGGTACTTGATAATTGACAAGCAATTGGCATTTTTAGCCAAGAGCATTTGATGGATAACTTGTAAGAGCATTTAGTGTTTGAGACAGGTGATAAGATATTCTGCATAAAGTCTTCCAAAATCAGAACAACCAAGAGATGACAACAGATCTACTTTTAGAATTTTGAAGAAATCTCAAAATCAGAATGTGATTTGCATTTTGTTTTCTTGTCCAACATTCTTAAATGGAGCATAGGGAAAACTTAGTGTATTTTAAATGCCTATGTCTGCTCTGCTAACAATAATAATGAACAAACAACAAGTTGAATTTACCTTCCTAAGTAATGCTGTGACAGAGAATTCTCTAAGAATGTCTAAGTAGAAAACAAAGCAGCCTGAGTGTTGTGAACTAACTGCTAACAGTCTCTTATTTTTGTGACAGCACTCATTTAAGCCTCATGAAGTGCCAAATTGAAGGGTGTTCCATTTCACCCAAAGCTGGCCTGAGCTGTGTGTGGCATTATCACTGCCTGCATGGCAAAATGATGGCCTGCCTAACCATGTGGATTTTTAGCTTGGGATAAAAGGTATGGGAAAAGGGACTCTTCTCACCAGGGGCAGTTTATGAGTAAGTGCAGTGCCTGGATATGGGAAGCCCTCCTTGTGCCCTTGCTGGCAGACAGGGGAACATATGGGGGAGGCAGAGGGATGTTTGGAGCAATATTGTGCAATGCCTGGTAAAGTAGAAAAGGGAAACTTCTCACCCATGGGTCTAATTTAGCTGGTGGGTTCACCCAATCTGGGACATAGAGCACTGGGAACTCTGTGTGGCCCGGGGTCCTCCTCTTCCTCTCCTTCCCTTATTTCTCATAGGGTGGGACCTATGAAAGGAATCCTCATTTTTTTCTTTTTTCTATTTATATCCTGCCTTTTTCCTCAAGGCAGCTTACATCATTCTCCTCCTCCATCTTATCCCCACAACAACCACCCTGTGAGGTAGGTTGGGCTGAGAGTCTGTGACTGGCCCAAAGTCACCCAGTTGGCTCCATGGCTGAGCAGGGACTAGAACCCAGATCGTCTGAGTCCCAGTCCCATGCTCTTAACCACTGCACCACACTGGCCCTCAGTGTTCTTGGAAATCCCTGAGCAGTTATAAGGAGAGGACTGCTTTGTGTGCTGTTCACCCTTCTAGTTGAAGGGTGGGTATAAGCAAGTGACATGAAGGGAAATCCTGGCACGCTGCTCAGTCTCTCAGTGGTGGATATGGTGGGGAGCAAATGACACAAGGGGTCAGAGATAACAAATGGATCCCTTGCATTCAATTAGGTCATTCACTTGTAGGTCCAGGTTCAAGCTGGGTGTCTCCTTCCCATGCTGCTGTTCTAGTTGGGAGGCAAGTAACGTGGGAAGAAGAAATCCACAGTGGACACCATTAAGGATTCAATCTGCAGAGTGAGTGAGTGGATTTTCCTGAGTTTTTTTATATAGAAAAAATATGAAAAACTCCCTCCCCTCCCAATGTGCATTTTTCCATAGGCAATGTGTGAAACATACATTGTTTGGGGACTTGCTCTGCAAATTTGCACAGCTGCAGTTTTGTGCAAACGCATACAGAGGTATTTGTGCAAAATCTCATTCTGTTAAGGAGTAGATGATGGAACAAATGACTGAACAAAATGCAGACTGAATGCATTTTTACAACATCTAAACATCCCTAGGAGCAAGATGCTCAAAAAATCCTGCATGTGCAGAATCACTTTCTCCATGCAGAGGTGGAAAGTGGATGGGATGACACAGATGGCACCACAGCAGGAGGTATGGCTTTGGTCCATGGGATAATCCTGCATCCCACACTGAATGCGCTTACTGCTTACAGTAAAGTCACTAACTTGATGGCCAGTGCCCATATTTGTTATGCCAGCTGGTCTGCAACTACACTTCCACATGCATTTGTCCTGCTACACCAGCTAGTAAGGGCCGAGGGCTCCTCTCCCTATGTCATTGGCCTTTCTGCCAGCTTTCTCCCATGGGTACTGAAGTCTCTCTGCAGTCAAGAAGTGTCAGGTTTTAATTGTATGACTCAGTCCTCAGAAAATCCCTTCCTTGCTTGGATAATGGACAGCCAGTAACTTGGCCTTCAGGGCACGCAGACAAGAGGCCAGAGAATGGGGAGGAAGGGGAAAAACAAAAGAGTATGTTGTTATTCTTTCTTCCCAAGAGCCAGTGGAGTGTTGCTGCCAAAGTGACTTGTTGATAGCATCAGCTGCCATGTTTTATAAAAACATCTTTCTTTTCTTTCTCCCATCCCTGGAGTTCCCGACTGTCCTTTTGAAGCCTGTCATAATTAGGCTCAAAGCGTGGGAGGAGGCGAAGTTGGTGGGCGGTGACAGCTGCACCAATTAAGCAAATATAAACCATGAAAAGGGGGGAAATTAAAGCAGCAGAGAACTGTTTTATTGGCTGTTATGGCAATTTGAAACCTGGGTCTTAGGAACTCTTTAGATCTTTCTTCTGCTGCTGCTCAATCCATTTGGAACCCTTCTCCTTTTCCTACATGTAATTCTTTAGAAACGAGAGGCTTTTGTCTGTCTTCTTTTCTTCTTCTTGGGGGAGACTCCAGTCTCTCTTTCATCTGTCATCCTCTGTTGTGGTGCCAGGTTTTGTGGGAGAAAACACAGAATGGTGATGGTATGATTATTTTGAGTGCTTCCTCATCTGTGATCAGACTGAATCTGTTCTTTGGGAAGGGAAGAGAGAATATTCCTCTAGCTTTGGCTTGGCTGTTGTTCCCTGTCATGCAAATTGTCTCATTTCCTAGGGCTGAACAAAAAGGCTGCTTTGATGACCACACTTGAAGGATATTAGCCCTAGTCTTTCTCCATATCTGTCATCCCATTACTTTTATCAAAGAGTGCAAAAATCCAAGGGACAGGACACAGATGCATACTAGGGTTCTGGGCTGGGAGACATAGGAGCATGGGGCTGAGATCTCTATCTGCTTTAGGTTGCTCTTCCAGAATGTCAGTATTAGCACGTACCCTTCTCTTGGACCTAGGGTACCCATAGCAACATCTCTGTGCAACTTTCTGTGTCTTAACTATGGAGAAGTAGTAGAGAGTAGTACCTTATGCATTCAGACCCACATTCCAAAGAGTTCACTGGAGCATGAATGCTGGTTGGCTCTGGGGAAAGATTCCTAGTCCCTGCTAGCATTGCACAATTATGAAAGGTCCCAAAGCTACAGTGGCTGGAACCGCCGTGTAGTCCTCTCTTTCAAACTGATGCTTGTGAGAGGGCTGGTGCATTCATCTGCTGGGAGCAGGCATAGGCTTTTCCATTCTCTGTGATTTTAAATCCTCACGGCTGATTTGATCTGCAGGTTGGGGAGCGCAAGTTAAGGCATGCTCAACTGCACTGTCTTTAGGATTTTGTGTCTCTGATGGCAATTCCCAGTGAGTATCCATGGCCCTCCACCACCAAATGCAATGCATTTCAGTGGCCAAGAAAAACTTGTGGATATCCCTTCATTTAAAAGACAAATGAGGATCCCCATCCTCATAAATACATAATCCCAGGAAGCTAGGAGGGAAGTGTGCATGTAGCTGGCAGTATGCTAAGGGTGTTTATGGCAGCTGAATGCCTTTATGATCAGGCTAAGCCGTTTTAACTAAAATGGTGCCCACTCCAGTGCATGATCCAGGTGCCATAAAAACATTTTTTATGTTGCCTGTGTGTGTTGCCCTCAGTATTGCTGTCCAGAACTGTGGTTAGTATGTGATCTTTGGCAGCTTTGCATGATAATGCAGATCCCTTGTGAACTTGTGGAGCACATTCATGGAGAAGGGTCATAGCAGAGCAGTATTGTATATGAAGAAAGTCCCAGGTTCATTCTCTGGTATCTCCAAGCTGGGTTGGGAAAGATGTGTGCTAGAAATGCTGGAAAACTTGGTGGATGGAAAAAGAAATGCTGGAAAAATCAGTGTGCACTGGGTTAGGCAACTGGATGTCCTTCACATGTTTTGGACTATAAGCCAACATGGAAAATGATAAGGGTTGAGAGGTGCTATAGGCCAAAATGTTTGGAAAAGCCCAGGTTGATGGCCTCATACAGTTAAGGCAACTTCCTGCACTGTCATCTAATGCTGTGATTTTACTCAAACAGAAGTAAGTGGGAAATGGGCAACTACTTGTCTTTGCTTAGTTTGTAATCTTTGAGATGTTTTCTCTCACCCCATTTGTACAACAGCAGTATATTTATTGGCTGATAGGGCAGGACTACTTGATGCTTCAGTAGATGCTAATATGTGGTTCATGGATTGCTTAGACCACTCTTCTCTTTGCTTTCACAGATTCCACAGATAAGCTATGCTTCCACTGCCCCTGACTTGAGTGACAACAGCAGATATGACTTCTTTTCCCGTGTTGTCCCCTCAGACACCTACCAGGCCCAGGCAATGGTGGATATTGTCAAAGCATTCAAGTGGAATTATGTTTCAACCTTAGCCTCTGAAGGCAGCTATGGTGAGAGTGGAGTTGAGGCCTTCATCCAGAAATCCAGGGAGAATGGTAAGGAGTGTCCTTTCCTATATGTTTTGAAATCCTTGGAACAAGATGAACACAGATGCTGTTTTGAAATCCTTGGAACCATGGATCATATTTATTGTTCTTGTTGCTGTAAGAGCAGGGACGGGCAATTTGAGGCTAGGGATGTGGAGGAATCTGTACTGGGGCTGAAATCTGACAGATTCCCTTATCTCAGCTCTCTGGACTCTGGTCTTTGTCACAGACCTGCGTCTGAGGTCTTGGTGGATAATTGAGTCCCACATGGTGCAGAAGCAGTGTTCCTCTTCTGCTGTATGTGCAGCAGCACTGCTGATGCAGAAGGTTGTTTGAGTGGGGTTTACCAGGGATGGATCCCAGCATGACTGATGCTCAGGCAGCATCCTTCTTTCATGTCACCTGCAGCAGCCTTTGTGCTGCTTCACCTGACATTGAAAAAGCTTGTTGGTTGCAGAGCCTTCATTCTGTGGGTCTTCATGGGCTTCCTTTGCAAGACTGGGTCAAACATGAGAGGAAGTCCAGCAATGCTAGAGGGGTGGATTGCAGTGAGATTTGTCCCAGCCTAACTTGTGGCTATTCAAATGCTTTGTTTTGCAACCCCCATCAGCCTTAGGCAGCCTAGTGAGTAATAAGAAAAGACAGGAATTGGAAGCCAAAATAGCTGGAGGGCTTGTCGTGCTGAGGAATGAGATAGGGCGCCACAGTGCCCCATGGGGTGATGAATAATGGGATTTACCAGATAAATGCTATCTTTGTTTTAGCTCATATGCCAGGCTTGGAAGCCACAAATGCCATTCCAGAATTCTACTCGAACACATTTGTTCATTGTGAAGTTAACAGCTGAGAGAATAATAGGCCTCCACTGGTTACATTATCCATAAAAAGATAATATCTGAATCAGTCAAGGGAAATTTGCTAGTGGTTGGTGTTGCTTTGAAGGGTCTTGTGCCGGTTCATACTTCTTCAAGTTCTGGCACAGTACTATCAAGAGACAGGTGAGATGGGCATGACCAGCACACTGGATCGTCTTGCAACGGAGTGTCAGTCACGTTCCCTGACTCCCATTTGCAAATGGAAACGTTAGGAAAACAGCAGCAGTGGCTAGCTTTTACGCAGGATCAAGAGAGCATATTGGCTTCAAAATGTTTTATTAGTCACACAAGTAGAAAGCCATCGTTTTGAGATGGCCATGATAAGGAAACTGCAAATATACCTCTAGACTCTTCCATGCCCAGAGATGGAAAAAATACTAGTGTCCAGTGTTTGTTTGGTATAGAGTGTCCTTCTCCAAGCTGTTGCCCTACAGAAGTTTCAACAACAACCCCCATAATGCCTGACTATGGGCTATGCTGGTTGGGGATGATGGGAGTTGTAGTTCAAAACCTTTGAGGAAGTCTGATGTAGATGATGAATGCTTAAAATACCAACACATGAAAAGGCAAAAATATCTGTGCAATATTTTGTATGCCACTAACAAAGTCAGCAGCCTTTCTTCTATTGTATCAGTGTGGACCGTGCTAGACAGAGCTACATTTACAAAAGAGGTAGCCAAATGTCCAAATGGGAAAAGTTCTAATACCTTGCTGAATACCACCTCCACCCACGATGCATTGCGAGTGAGCCTCAGTGCTAAGACACAATGTGCGGCACACCATTTGTTTTCAGCCTGGGACAGTGGCAATGCATTATTTACAATCATTGACAATCCAGTGGGGATTCTAGTTTGCACAACTGCTTTCATCTCAGTTGGAATGGAGGGGGTGGTTTGCTGGAGAGAACACTAAATATTAGGCAGAGAAGAGTTTAAATCATTGTGAAACCTGTACGGTTGCCACATTTTTACTGTCTTAGTTTCGGGCTTCAACCGCAGTTTGAAAAACACAACTATGACAGGTGAAGCTTTTCTCATCATTTATCTCCATGTCAAAAAAAACTTTGTCTGTAAAATGTCAGACTGCTGTTAAAATCATAGGAGCAAGACTGGTAGAAAAGGTGGCAACTCAATCTGAGATGCAGACTTCTGGCATAGATACCAAAGTGCTTCTTGGCTTCCAAAGATTCATCAACAAAGTCCAGAACTGGGCTCTTGGAAGCTTTACCAGTGAAATATTTGTCTTTGCCTCTCTCTCCCCATCTGTTGGAGTAGTCAAGAGAGGTACCTCTTCCAACCCTGAGCAAAGCATCTGTGTTTCTGTGCTTATACATCACATCAAGCTCATTGTAATTGCTTATTTCTAAGGACCACATGGTGTCCAAATGTTAGACATTGGTAATACCCTGCAGATATAATCCTGCTATAAATCTCTCCTAAGCTCTTTTAATTGCACAGCCTAGGTGTATTTGTTATTGTAACTGTCTGCAGAGGAATGGCAGCTTTCAGGGCATTGCAGACAGAGAGGGAAGGATTTGTCCCAGCCATTCTATGTTTAAGACACCATGTGCTACACAAAGAAGCGCTTGCTGCAAGCAAAATGGTGTGAGAAGAAATTCCCCCCCCAGACAAATCAGACTGTGAATCAGGCCTCCTTAGAAGCTGTAGGCAATTTCACCTCTCTGAATGTGTGACTTTACTGAGAAGAATGGCTCACTACCACTCTCCATAAGCAATGAACAATCAACAGAAAATGATGACATCCCACTTCAATCCCTTCAGAGGCTTTGGATACTGGGAGTTGAGGGAGCAGCTAGAGTGCACAATCAGGGGGTTGCCACACACAGACACACATCCCTCCTGCCACACTCTCACATTTGGGAACCTCTGGATTATATGTTGATACTACTTGGTTTTGGTACCAAGCACCAACCTCTGGATTATATGTTGATGCTACTTTGAAAGGTGGAGAGTCATCCCATCATTCTTAGAAGAATGGTGGTCAACTTATACCCACAGACTAGGAATGATTCAGGGAGGAACCATTTTCTCCTGAGATGATGGAGATGAATTTGAGATGCCTTGTGTGTTTAATCAAACACTCAACTGCAAGCAGACGAAATAGGAATCTTCTAGGGCTGATCTTTTCTTTTTTGCTCTGACTGATTATCTTTTGTTCTCTAACCTGTCCAGAACTGTTAAAAGACCCTTTTCACTTGAAGGAAACTTTGGGAGGTTGCTTTTTCTTTTGGTCTACCATTAAAGGCAATTGTCTTGAACCAATGCTGGTGGACATGTCATGGAAAAGAATGCTGAAACGAGTTCCTGATGGGTGTGAATACTTATAGAACCAGCAGATGGCACTTCAGCATTTGCTGCACACTTCCTATGATTTGCATTGTGGGATGAGTAAAACTTCTTTCTTTCTGTGTATCCCAAATGGCTTCTTCAGTGCCAGGTGAATGGCATGGAAGATATTTCAATAGATATCCCAAACCTATATTTGCTTTGATACTCAAATTTGTAACTGTTAATGGACAGAAGCTCTGTGGCTTTGACAGCCACCTAGCAGACAAAATTGAACAGATGATTTCACTGCATCTTCCTGCCAGGAAAAGATCAAATGTTGATTTCCACTGGGTCTGTAATGGTTAAAGGTACAGAAACTGTTCAGAAAAAAGAATTGGTGATGAGCCACTCAGTCACTGAGCATCCCATGACAAGCTACCACCAATCCCTTAAGTCACCTTCTCCTTGGCTTTCTCCAGCAGCTTGCGGGAAGAAGGTTGATAAAGGAACTGGTACAGCAATGGGACAAGAGGTGCTGTGGTTGTATTTTCTCACTGATTTATGATGTTATAGTTTGGATCTCTGGGTTGCAGTTTAACCAAATTAAGCAGACAGTATGCATAGGCTGAATTAACCCATTGTTTCCCCTAAGTCCCTGTCTCCTGCTCAGGGATTGTTGCATAGGACAATCAAGTTTTACGTGTAGGTATGTACAAAACATTGCTGCTCCTACAGAGTCTGTGATGTGATGTGAAAGAATTATGTGTCCTCTTTGGGTTTAGGGCATATCTGAATGGCCTTTTTGAAGGGAAACTGCACTGAACTATTCACTGAACTACTATAGTCCATGCTCACCTGTATTTTATCCTCTACTGGTCCCCTGTCAGTCTTTACCCAACTACATCACTTGCAGGGCTGGCAAAAACTTGGAGGTAGAGTCACACTCTGGGCCTGTAAAAAGCTGCTGCAGCTGCTGCTACTGCTGCTGCAGCAACTGTAGCTCATCCTCCTCTCTTGGTCTCCCCCAGATACCAGTTCAATGCACTTGATGAAGCCAAAACAATTAGATGCCTTTTGTAGACGTCTTCCCCTTCTTTCAGATTTAGCCATTCATCCACTTTGTGGGTTCAGGACATCAAACCAGGTTTCCGATTTTCATCCCAGTTTTTGGGTGATACATCAGCCCAGGCTCCAGGGAAGTCATAGACAAACTGAAAACACAGCTTCAGGGTTGGAGAAGCAATGCATTTCTGTATGCTTCATACATACAGATAAAGTCATATTGCCTTCAGCCGCAGCAGGGTCATGGCATGTCTGCTGACAGATTTTCATCTTTTTAAATTTGGGGTTTCTTCTGTAAAGGCAGACTGATCATGCTCTGTGTTCCTTTGCATCTGACTCATTCCTAGATGATATGATGCATCCCAGTGCATCATGCCCTACTTGATGTGTGGAGCTGGGTGGAGGAGATAAGTTTTCCGTGATGTTGGACAAATCTTGGTAGGCACAGGGGAGAGAAAAATATGTTCTCAAAGGAACAAAATATGGCTGATGGAACTGACGTCCTGCTGGTAATGCAAAATAACCAGCTGATAAATTACAGAAGAACTCACCTGCTATATGAAACTGGATTTCTACCCCTCTTTAATTTTCAGAAGAGAAAAGAGGAGGCATGTGGTGAGAAGGGAGAGGTGAAGGAGAGAAGCCATTTCTTTAGCTCTCCAAATTGAAAACTGAATTGAAAAGCTGTGCAATGCTGCTGACGTCCCCATGCAGCCTAATCCTTCTGAAAGATTAAAGATGTCTTTGGTCATATATTGTATTGATTCATTCTCTGAAGTATAAA